TGAGTCGATTCAATTCGGCCATGATTGATATAAATTGATTCAATTTTTTGCATCAAAAAATGAGACCGTTTCGTGTATCATTTCTAAAAATGATAAACAAAACGATCTCTTTTTGATATAACTTATGTGCATCAAAACGTTGCAATAGAAAAAGAGACAACCAAGTTTACTGTGGCTAATTTTCTTCGTTTTGACAAAAGTGTGTGGGCTCGTTCAATTTATTACTTGATGCTCTGTCGAGGTCAAAGGCAAACAGGGGTGTGGTATATTGAGGACATTCTATTATAATTCTCCCAAATAACCTGGCCCCTTCAAATGCTTCTTTCTGTGCTAAAATTATTACCCCATAAACATTCTTCACTGCCACAACTATATATATATATATATATGTCAACAATTTATTAAATTAATTTCTCTCTATATCTATATACATTCAATTCTTAGGAATCCTCTTTTCGAAATTGGATTTTTTTTCCTAATTTAACAAACTTTAGATATAGAAAATTACCTTTAGAATTAAAGATTCAGAGGAATTGGTACACTGAGAAAAATATGCTATCACAGAAAATTAAAAGGCATTAAAATAAGCTGCAACGCTTATTATTTTAATCCAATTTTGCTTATTTTAATACCAAAATGGATTTAAATAAGCAAAATTGGATTAAAATAATAGCAGCTTATTTTAATGCCTTTTAATTTTCTGTGATTGAATCAATAGCATTTCTGCCAAAGGTATAAAAATTATTGATTCAAAAGCATATGCTATAAAATATTTTATTATAGCATATACTTTTGAATCAATATAATTTTTATACCTTTGGTAGAAATGCTATTGATTCAATAGCAGATTTTTCTCAATGTATTTAAAAAAAAACAATTCGAGAATATTGCACAAACATCGAAGAAAGGAAAGTGCAATGTTCGCTGAATAGCTATAGAGACAAATGCGACTATTCATTGCTACTAGCTGTCACTATACATATAGCTCTACTTGTAAAAAAGAGACATGGAATCGAAGGTGGAAACTAAAAACTAAAGTAAACTGAATGTTCGTAAACTTTCCTTTCTTCGTCTTCCTCTTTTGCTGACTTAAAAAAACGAAAAAAAGGAATATTGGATACGTAATCGAGTCGATCCAATCATTCTCGTGAATCTTTTCTTCGAGATAACCGATCAGTTTGCTTTCTCCAATGCAGATATTTTCCCTTCTAATGATCTCCACTGGATATAATTGATAAGAGGGGAATTAATTATCAGTATAATTAAACGTCTAATTTTTACACTCTAAATCTGAAGCAGTGAAAAATTTCACTGAATTCAAATCAGTGACTCAGTTTTCTTTAATTAACCAGTGGAATTTTACTGGGAGTTAGTAAAAACCACTGATTATCATTCCACTGGTTAATTAAAGATTTTCACTCATTTCAATTCAGTGAAATTTTCACTGATTCAGATTTAGAGGGTATTTTTTTTGTCTGTTGCAAAATCACTTGGAATCGATTTTGATTTACCAATATACTATTAATTTTAGAAATTAAAATTTACTAATTGAAATAAATCTTACAATTAGTTAAATCTGTTAAAGGTGAGTTAAATCTGCTAAATAGAATCCATTTTCAACTGCGACAATGTTAAGGTTCAATCAGTTAAAATTTTATTGTTAAAGTCATTAGATGTACTTGAACTTGATTCGATAATAAGTCGCATTTTAAACGCCTGTTCTATATGCAAAGATAGAGAGTATAAAGAGCGGAAAGGAAAGAGAAGAAAAAAAAAACAGTACATGAGTTGTAACGACCCACGCGAATCAGTGGTTTTACTAAGTTCTTCATATTAGTCATTATAAAACTATATTCTGCATTTGTTTCTCTAAAGAAAAAAATTCTAGAATTGACTCATTATGCAAAAGACTATAATGAGATAGTATTATTCCTTTCTTGATAGTTTTTTTTACATATCCTTTATCATGATGATGGTAATAATAGATATAATTAATATTTTTCAATTTTCTTAAAAGAAAATTTATTATATTATCAGTTTAAAAAAAAAATATACTATATTGAATCAACAGCATTTCTGCCAAAAGGTATAAAAATTACACTGGCACACAAAAAAAAAAGTTAACGTTCTGAGCATTTAATCAAACTATGCGACTACTTTATGTTTTCGGGGTCGCTAAAACCGAATCTGAAGTTCGTTTAACTCCATCATGTCAGGATTTTGAAATAACCTCAAAAAAACACCAAAATTTGACCCCAAATTTTTGAAATCAATAAAAATTTATATCTCCATGTCTTAGCATAACTACTTTATATTTTTGGGGTCGCTGAATGCAAATCTGAAGTTTATTTAACCCAATCACGTCAGGGTTTTGAAATATCTTCAAAAAAAAAACCCTAAATTTTGGTTTTTTTGAGGTTATGTCAAAACCCTGACATGATGGGATTAAATAGACTTCAGATTCGTATTTAGCGACCCCAAAAACATAAAGTAGTCATGCTAAGACATGGAGATATAAATTTTTCTCGATTTCAAAAATTTGGGGTTAAATTTTGGTGTTTTTTTGAGATTATTTAAAAATCCTGACGTGATTGGGTTAAATGATCTTCAAATTCGGTTTCAGCAACACCGAAAACATAAAGTAGTAATGGTCTGATCAAAAGCTTAGAAGATTAACTTTTTCACAGAAAATCACTGATTCAGATTTAGAGTTTATGATTGTAATAATAATAATAATATCGGAAAATATTAATCACTTTAAAATTTCAAACATAACCTAAAATTTTTTGCTTTTAAGGTCCCTTTTTTCGCACTGCATTACAAATATTGAACCGAATATTTATTGGTAAATAATTGATACTCTCACAGGAAATTAAAAGGCATTAAAATAAGCTGCAACGCTTATTATTTTAATCCAATTTTTCATTATTTTAATACCAAAATGGATTAAAATAAGCAAAATTAGATTAAAATAATAAGCGTTGCAGATTATTTTAATGCCTTTTAATTTTCTGTGAATTTTTGTGTGCCAGTGATAATTGTTATATCTTTGTCAGAAATGCTATTGATTCAATAGCATATTTTTTTTAGTGTATGAAGTAAAAAGTTAATATATCTCTTTTTGTGACATTTATGTCCAGATGTTTGTTTGCCTTGAGATTTTGTAGAGGTGGCAACAGAGGCGTTTGTCAGCTGTTGGAAGAATGATAAAGGCAACAATGCGTGTGGCTTGTTTGGTATTTAAATGCGTGTTAACATGTTACAAACGCCATTGTCATTAGTACTCCTCAAGTTCCAGACGCACAATGTCAGATAGAATTCTCAGGGATTTTCTGTCATCACCATATACATACTACAAAAGATCATAATTATATATATATGTGACGCTCCATGACAAAATGCACTTAAGCTCCCTAAAATTTTAGGTTATGTTTGGTGATACATTGTAAAAAAATCTTTTTGAAGATTGTACATTCACAATTTGTATTTGTGTTAAAATTTTGTAAAATTACTATATTCAATAAGGTTATGTTGCTACATTAAAAAAAAGCACTTTTACAATTTTCTGTAAATTTACTACTTTCAAAGTGGGTAATAGGTGACGGATACAACAACTAATTATGTTTCACCTATTACCCACTTTGAAAGTAGTAAATTTACGGAAATTTGTTAAAGGGTTTTTTTGTAATGTAGTATAACATAACCTAATTGAATATAGTAATTTTACAAATTTTAACACAAATACAAATTGTGAATGTACAATCTCCAAAAAGATTTTTTACAGTGTAGTTTTAACGAATGAAAACATAACCTAAAATTTTTTGGAAGCTTAGGTTTCTATTGCATTTGCTAAAATATAGTTAGCAATAGAGAAAAGATTTCTTTGATTTAAAGAAACTAGTTTCTTTGACTTGTTTTCTTTCATTCAAAATAAAATTTTTCGTTGAAACAAAAAAAGTTTCTTAATTTCAAAGAATTTCTTTGATTCAAAAAAAAAAATTTCTTTGAATGAAAGAAATTTGTTCATTAAATCAAAGAAATTCTAATATTGATATAGAGTCAAAGAAACATTTATTTGAATTAAATAACAAATTTCTTTGGAACTAAGATATTTTTTTTTTTTTAATCAAAGAAATCTTTTTTCTCGATGTACTAAGGAAACAAGAAGAAACAAAACCGTTTGTAATAATAGTTTCAATAATTGATAATTTAGAACAACAAATCCGTTAAATGGGAAAAATAAATGATTTCAGTAATTTAATATTTCCGTGGTGATTGGTATTATAATTAAATTATTCAATTGTTGGTATTTAGATTCAAAATTTGTCGATATTTGGCGCCATATTTGTATCGATAGTATCGACCGTTGTCGATACACGCCTAAGTTCACTTTGTTCGTCCGTGTCGAAGTTCAGACTGATGCATTTCCCTCGTGTTATTTTGTATCGAATTAAGTATTATTATTATTATTACGAGTGATTAAAAGTTTTGTGACATTAACCAAAGTGTTCTTAATAAATATAAGAATTAATTTGAGTCTGTTTTGTCATTATATTAATTGAGTAAAGTGTCAGTATCAGTTTCAAGCAGTAATTCCAATTTTGACAACATTTGATGGCTAGTGGAAAAAAAAAATTCAAATCTCTCATTTTTTCTCGCTGATGATATCAGCAAATCTCAACTTGTATTGCACTCATTAGCAATGTCACAGATAATTGACTCTACTTTTGAATTGTCATTCATGGTCGGAAATTTAATTTCCGATTGCTCTTTTGTAGGTTAAGTAATAATTCAAGATGAAATTCGTTTCTTCGAGGTGTTTTTTAATATCATGTCAAAGATATGCGATTGAAAAATTCATTTAAAAAAAAAACTATTTCTTTTTTGTGTTGCTTTTATTGTTTGAATATAATATTGTTTAAAATTATATCAAGCGATAAAATATCGAATTATTATAATTTTCTCATTTTTATTAAAATGAATTATTTTTTATTTTGCAGAAGAGGATCGTCAGGTGAAGCGATCAAATCAAATAAATAGAAGTAAATCACACAGAAAGGTAGTTTTATAAGGAACAAAAAGATGGGAGCGCGACAGAGCAAAAGGTCCGTTGACATAACGACAACGCCGAAAAAGGAGGGTTTACCTGCCGAAGGTAGCGTAGGTGATGCTGCAGCACCAGGTGATGGTAAATTGGAGAGGATCGAGGAGGCTGACACAAAACCAACCACCAATGGAATTGGTCCGCACACAGAAACTGTTGAGGAGAAAAATCAAGATGAAGCAACTGAGAAAGACAAGGTAAATTAATTTCATTTTCATTTGTAGATAATTTTTTTTTTTTTAATTTGGATAAAATTTAAAAAAAAAGAAAATAATTTTTGGGAGAATTTTTTGTGCTTAATTAATTTTTTTAAACGAAATCTCTTCGAGTTCTAGTTTGCCACGCAAATAAACATGAGTGGAACCAAAAATAACATTTTGGGGACATTGTCGGTCGCTGTTGAAACGTCAGTTATTCAATCCCAAGTATCGAGAACGTTGTATATATATTCGTTTCGACTTGGCATTCGTAAATAAAATAAAATACACTCCTGGAGGGTTTAACAAACGATATATTGTATGCGCAGAAGCGTGACAAACAACTAACTATTCCTGACCTAGGTGACGTTCGTTCACTTTAAAGGCAACAAACGTTCGACATGGATCGATGCTATAGAACTTGAATTTACATTTGCCAATGATTTGTTAACTTTTGAAAAATTCTTCTAATTTTCTCATTTCTTTTTTTAAATTCATTTCTCTCGTTCAAGAATTTTCTCCTCAATATTGTGATTTCGTTCTTCACGAAACGAATTTCTTTTTTTTTTTTTTTTAAAGCAGAGGAATAGATTTTAAATTCAAATGTCCAATTGAAAAGTTCTATGTAGAACTGAATGTATAAAAAGTCTTCATTTTTTCTCACTGTCGTCGTCTTGGAATATTTTGTCTTCTATTTTCTAAATCCCCCTCATTTGAATGGGGGAAAAAAAAAATTGAAAATTTCAATGAAAAATCTTATCGAGGTAATATTTTTTCGAAAAACACTTTTTTTTTTTTATAAAAAGTAAAAACAAATTTTCCAGTAAATGTTTTGTGATTAAATTGCTTGTAACTGTGTAACAAACAAGATCGTGTCATACTTTGTGATGAAACTAGATATTTCCTCGATTGAGCAATCCGAGCAACTGTCACGCACCAGATATTCCGACACGCGTGAGATTCTCTCCACTTTTCCTTTCATTTCCGTTTTGACAATCTCATAATTTATTGTTCTTTATTTTGAACACAGTTTTCATAATTTTTTCTTTTTTTTTTTTTGGTAATTGTAAGTATACAGGCCTCGGATTATACGACTTTTTTTCGACTTATTTTAATAAAATGCGACTTTTTCGACTTTTTTTTATTACATTTAAAAAAATTTTTTTTTATACAAAATGCAAAATCTTCTTTATTTCAATTATTGAACACATTTTGAACTAAAATTGTTTATTAAATTAATTATTTTTAATAATTTTAATGAAATTCATCAGAAATTCAATTATTTTAAACTATTTTTCAATTAAAATTTTTATGAAATTTGAAAATTGTTTATAGTTTAAAGAAAAAAATTAGCAAATTGAATTAGTGAAAATTTTTAATTCAAAATCACTTGAAATTTAATTATTTGCAAAAATTTCAATTATTTTTAATAATTTTTATAATATTCTTCGAAAATTCAATGATCTCAAAGCATTTTGCAATTAAAAAGATTTTTAAATACACTTTTTGTCTGTAATTTTTAATAAATTCTTCAATTATTTTACAAAATTTAAATTGAAATTGAATTATTTTCAAAAATTTTCAATTCAAAATCAACTAAAATTTAATTATTCTCAAAAATTTCAATTTCAAATTAATTATCAAAATTCTCAATTCAAAATCAACTAAAATTAAATTATTATCCAAAATTTCAATTGAAATTCAATTATACGACTTTTTTAATAAAATTCTTCAAAAATTCAATTATCTTAAACTATTTTTCAATTAAAATTTTTATGAAATTTAATAATTGTTTATAATTAAAAAAAAAAATTAGCAAATAAAATTATTGAATATTTTTTAATTCAAAATCACTTGAAATTTAATTATTTGCAAAAATTTCAATTATTTTTAATGATTTTTATAATATTCTTCGAAAATTCAATGATCTCAAAGCATTTTGCAATGAAAAAGATTTTTAAATACACTTTATGTCTGTAATTTTTAATAAATTCTTCAATTATTTTTTAAAATTTAAATTGAAATTGAATTATTTTCAAAAATTTTCAATTCAAAATCAACTAAAATTTAATTATTATCCAAAATTTCAATTGAAATTCAATTATACGACTTTTTTAATAAAATTCTTCAAAAATTCAATTATCATAAACTATTTTTCAATTAAAATTTTTATGAAATTTAATAATTGTTTATAATTTTTAAAAAAAATTATCAAATAAAATTACTAAAAAAATTTTAATTCAAAATCACTTGAAATTTAATTATTTGACAAAATTTAAATGATTTTTATAATATTCTTTGAAAATTCAAGTATCTGAAAGTATTTTTCAATTAAAAAGTTTTAAAATTATTGCATTTTTGTCTGCAATTTCTAATAAATTTTTTTTGGTGAAATCATCAAAAAATTTAAATTAAAAATCAATTGAAGTTGAATTAATTTCAAAAATCAAAATTTTAAATCTTTAAAAATTCAATTACTTTTTAAAAAATGTTATCTAAAATTATTTGATAAATTATTTTTAGTTCTGTATTGAAGATTTATTTAATTATTTATTTTAAACATAAACGATAATAATTTAATTATTGTTTGAAAATTAACAAAAATTATTTGTAATTTAATTATTTCTTAAACAACTTCAATTTTTTCAAAATTATTATTTAAAAATCTGTAAAACTTGATTAAGTATTACCTGAAATTTTGTTGACTATCAAAACTAAATACTATGATAAAATTTTAAATTCGAATAAATTGCTTAAATCAGATTTGAAAAAATTATAAAAATGGAATTTTAAGAATTTTTTTTTTTTTTTTTAAAAAAACTTGTCCTACTTAAATAAAATTTTGAAAATTCTTACAATTAGTTCGATTCTGAAATATTCGAAATAAATTTTCTTGACAATATTTATTATAGAATTATTCTCATTACAGGATTAATAAAATGAATTTAATATCTAATAACATTAGTTAAAGTAAAAATATTCATTAATCAATTAAACTTTGTTAAATTTAAAAAAATTGACTTTTTTTGGTATATGAATTGACTAAAACGGCTTTTTTTTGTGCCTTAAAGTTGATCCGAGGCCTGAGTATATGAAAAAGACGAATTTGCTTTATAAAAATTCGAGTCGTTGACAGTAAAAAAAGAAAGTTTTCTTTTTTTTTGTCATTTTCATTTTGAAAAAAAAAAATGTAAACTTCTTCTCATCTCGATATTTTTGCTTTTTTCCATCTCGTTTTTCATCACTTTGCTGAGTGTAATTTAGTTTCTTTTTACAACGCCCTTGGACTTGGTGGGATGTCATAAAAGCTCCATCTAGGTGTCTCGTTCGTTCCTCTGCTGCAGCCTCTTTAAAAATCAACCATCTTGTCCTCTCTTTACAGCACCTGTCTCAGTACATTGATCCCCACACTGAGAAAAGAAAAATTGTCCGTTATTTTTCAACCTTGCAATGATTTACGTTCTTTCGTTTCTTTCTCACTGTTTGAGAGATGAAATGACAAATAACGGAGACAGATTTTTTTTTTTTGTTCTGTTTGAGAAAAATCATAAAAAATTATTATATGAACAGTTTTTTTTTATTTTCTAAATTCTATAAAGAATTTTTTGAATTATTCAAATAAAAAAAGTTTATTTTAACTGAATTTAAAAAAAAATAGTGAATTTACGCGGTATTAGAAATTACTTTTGTGGTTTAAAAAAAGAATTTCATGATCATTCATTTGAAAAGTGAGTTATACTTGGGAGAAGAGTAAATTTTAATTCATTGAATTCTCTAGTACTTGAGGTACTAAAACTTGTGGTTGAATATTTTATTTATAGTCTTGAATTTTTTTTTAAGAAAACCGCAGTAGGTTGTCTACTCATAATAATGGAATAGAGAAAAGTTTTCGTTTTGATAAAAAATTTTGTTCGAAATAATTTCTATTTCACAATAAATCCAAATTTCTAATTTTGAGGAAGTTTAAAAATTCTTTGATTTCTAATAAAACTAAAAAAAATTTAATATAATTTTTATTTCATCACATTGCTAGTTAGAAAATAGTTATTTTTTTCAATTTCTTTTATCGTCAGTGAAGTGACCCTTGAAAAAAAAAAAAAAAATTTGTGAGCAGTAATGATGTGACGTCACAATTGCGGTATGTCTCAAGGTTGTACCCTTGACCTTGACCGTGAGACATATAGGTAGGTAGGTCGTCTTTCGTACAGGGTCAAAGTTTCGAAAGGCTGTGCACGTTGCACTTTACTATATACGCGTTATGGTTTATATTTACGTAAGTTCATTCACTTGTGAAAGATATAAGACAACGAATGGTGTAAATAAAGAAATTCATTTTTCTCAATAGAAAAAAAAAAATTTATTATCTTTTCGAGTTTTTGATTCACATGTCGTTTTATCATAAAAAATTGAATTTAGAAGAAAAAAGAGGATTTCAAATAAAAACTTGAATAAAATCATTTTGTGTGAGAGAAAAGTTGGTTCTAAATTTTCTAAAATTAAAGTTGGGAATTATCCCCCTTTTTTTCCATTCTTCTTTTTCAATTTTTTTTTTTTTTTTGGTCGTCTCTCTATCGACGAGAGTTTGGTAAAAAGGGGTGAGAGATGTACAATGCAGCCATTCTAAAAAATTGAATCCGGGGTGAGACACTCTGATTATCCGCACGAAGAGTGCTTTGAATAAAACGAGCATTTTTCAGTCATCTCTCTCTCTTTCTCTCTGTTGTCCATATAGACTTCTCGTGAACACTGTGCGTGACAAGGTCGACTCAAATTCCATGTTAAATGCCGGATGCGGTTTGAATCCTTTTTGGCTTCTCACGAGTTTGACTTGAAATTAATTCGACTGTAAAACTTTCTTTCAAATATGTTACATCTAACACTGCCACTTAAATATATAACTCTAATTTTCAAAAAGTCAAACAAAATCGGTTTTTTTTCAATTTCCATTATCAGGCCTCGGATTATACGACTTTTTTTCAAAAATACGACTTTTTTCGACT